CGCCACTGCAGCCCCCCTCCATCGACCAAGTCCATAGCGGCAGCATTGTAATTGTGGTGGCGTGCTGGTCTGACAAAGTCCTCCAAGCCGTAGGATACACAATGATTCGGCGTAGCAAAGACGCATGTCTGAAGCGCATAGCTTTTTCGCACGTACATTCGTGCTTAGGCCATTGGGCTCATAACCTAAAGAAGCTGATTCAAGCATGTATAAACTCGCATGAATGTTCTGCCCACCTGCCCCCCGCCCTGACATCCACAAGGGAGGATGCAGGGTAGGGGGACAACGCACCGGGGCAACCGGCTCTTAAGGGCTACAGCTTGGCTTCAGCACTAACACCAACTCTAACCCCTATACAACCCCAAAATCCTGTACCCTACACCCTAGCCCTCCTAAACCCTAAACCCTAAACCCTAACCCTAACTCTAACCCCTATATAACCCCCAAAGCCTAAACCCGAAACCCTAGCCCTCCTAAACCCTAAGATTTCCTATTCTACGAGTTCCAGTCGGGGTTCTTCTGAACATCCTCAACTGGGCTTTGGAGTGTTATACTTTAATACATTTTTTTTGCAGGGGGGCCTGTTCCTTAAAGGAGCCATTATGAAATAAAAGTCTATACCTTTTTTCTCCCTGGTTACTTCAAAGCCCCTAAACCCTAAACCCTAAACACGAAACCCTAAACCCTACACCCTACACCCTAAACCCTAAACCCTACACCCTAAACCGTAAACCCCTAAAGCCCTAAACCAGCCAAGCTTCAAGGCCCTGAAGCCTTGTCGGTCCTTAGGCGCTGCATCCTGGCACCCAGGCCAGAGACTGAATCGTCACCAACAGTGGGGTTTAGGGTTTAGGGTGTAGGGTTTAGGGTTTAGGGTTTAGGGCCTTATTGATAATAGTATATAGTTAGTACCAATATTAATAAGAGCAATTCATATAGTAGTAATTATTGCAATATGTGAATTCATATAGTAGTCATTATTGCAATGTTTAGAAGTACTATCATATACCCCCAGAACCCTATTCCAGTCATGAAGGGCTTTATATGAAACCCCTAAACTCTAACCCTAAACCCTAAACCCTAAACCCTAATATGAAACCACCAGTCCAGGAGCGGGATGAGTTCGCGAATTTCTTCCCTTGTAGCATCGAGCTACTTGGGGCTCAGCAGTGGCTTTCAGGGTTGATGATATAATTACCAATACTATTTTGGGGGATTCCTCATAATAATAGCAACATTAAAAGATATGAATGATAGTAGGAATATTAATATAGTACTAATATAATACTGGTATAATATGCTTCCTTAGCTGTGAAGGTGGGTTTGTATCTATAGTTACCGCTTTTGATTGACCCTACTTCTGATGAGTCCTGAAGAACACTAAGCCCGTTAGCCACATTCGAAGCAGAAGTAATTCGTTCAGCAGCGTGACCCAGACTCGGGTAAGAAGTGCATGGCAGCGTGTTTAGGGGTTCGAGGGCTTGAGGTTGAAGACGTAGGTTTGGTAGAGCTTTAGGGTTCCGGGCAGAGGGTATGGACACCAAAAGCCCAGGGTAAAACTTCTAAAGCTATAAGCTTCAAAGCCTGATGAATCCTGAAACCCCAAACCCAAGTACGTAATATAGGGGCCTGAACAATTACCTGTACTAGTTTGGGGGCTCCTTACTGGAATTATCGTATTTTGGGCCCCAAAACCTTATCCTAATTATTCAGGCCCCTATATTAACCATTGTTAGGGTTCCTTATTATGAATATACTATAAAGGACCCCCAAAACCCTATTCTAAAAAGGCCCCTACATTACCCCTGCCCCTTCTTGGGTGGGTGGTCAACGTCGGCTTTCTTGAGGTTGGGTTGCAGGGTCAGGGCCAGCGAGTCTCAGGCTTGAGGGCTAGGGCATTCAGGGTTTGAGGTTCAGGGTTCAGGGTTTAGGGTTCAGGGTTTAGGGTTTAGGGTTTAGGGTTCAAGGTTGAGGGTTCAGGGTTCAGGGTTTAGGGTCTAGGGTGTAGGGTTTAGGGTGTATAGGGTTTAGGGTTTAGGGTTGAGGGTTTAGGGTGTAGGGTTTATAGTTTATATAGGGCTCAGGGTTTAGGGTTTAGGGTTCAGCGTTTACGGTTTAGGGTTCAGAGTGGTGTAAAAGACGGGCAAAAAATGGGTTCCTGTAAAGGTTCTATAAGGGGTTCAGGGTACAGGGGCCGTAGTTGGGCAGCAAAGTTGCGAAGAATTCGGTTAATCTTGGCTTGCTGTTGGGTTCTTTGCTTCTCAGCAACCCTGGGGCTCCAAATGGCCCAATGTAGGTACTATTTACAGACTTTAAACCCCAAAGTAGGTACTATTTGATCACTTGGAGCCCTAGGGCAAGGACTCTCTCTTGCGCGCTTGCAGCAGCCGCCTTGTGCTGCAGCTTTGCGACCCTAAACCCTAAACCCTAAACCTTAATCCCTAAACCCTAAACCCTAAACCCTGAACCCTAAACCCTAAACCTTAATCCCTCAACTCTAAACCCTAAAGCCTAATGCCTAAACCCTAAACCCTAATCCCTAAACCCTAAACCCTCTGGTCAACTTCACGGGTGATATCCTGACCCTGTCATCGGCCTGTCTTCGCTCCAAGGCTTTCTCCCAAAGCTGTGCACTCAGAGCTGCGCTTGGCCGAGCGTGCAACCGACCCATAGGCCCCATAGTAGTTCCTTTTTGGGGGTTACTTTATAGGATTCTATATATGAACCCCAAAACGGAACTACTTCAGGGCCTATGGGTAGACACTTGCCGGAGTCTCTCATGCAGGAGCCGCGCTGTTGCGTCGTCGTCAAGCTGCCGACACTCGTCTCTCGTGGCAATAAGCCTGGCACTGGACAGATGGTCCTTGTCATTCTCTCGAGCAATTTGGCCCCCTGCAGGTTCGCGCAATGAACCTGCAGCATGAAGTTCCTGACGGAGCGGCGCGCGTTTCCTGAAGAACCCCTTCTTCTGCGACTTCTTCCGCCTCGGAAGGATTGTCAGGAGTGTCATACGCTGCCTCTTCAGCATCATCTGCACTATTTGTTCCCGGGCACACTGTAGCCCCTCTACCAGGGGCTCGTGCACGTCATACGGCTCCAAAACATGCACAGAAGAAGTGTCCTGAGAAGCCGGAACGCCCTCCCCCGTGCCCCCTGCAGAATTCTAGAAAAATATTACCCCGGTTAGGGTTTAAAGGGTTTAGGGTTTTAGGGTTTTAGGGTTTTTAGGGTTTAGGGGCCCTATTCTGATTTTAAAGGACCCTCTATGTTAAAAAAACTCAGCCAGCCTACATGAAACCCCGAAAAAACAACTTCGGCTGGGTCGACTCTGGTTTTTCACTAAGAGTGCTGCATTGGTGTGTAGTGTCGACTGGCTCCATTGACATGGGCTCGGTGACATTTGCATCAGAAGTCCAGCATCGTCCGCATCATGTTGCAAAGGAACTCCCTCCTGGGTTGACCCAAGTCATAAGCTTGCTCTTGTCCTCCGTGGCTGTGCTGAGGCAACAGTCCCTGACACGCCCCTCTATTATAAACTTCTCTTGAAGGAACGCCTCCACAAGATACCCTCGTAAAGCAGAGTGCCCTTATATTGTACGCTCATACCCTTATAAAGTACCCTTAGCCTTAGAATACTGTTTTTGTGCCCCTAAACCCTAAACCCTAAACCGTAAACCCTAAACCCAATCGTTTAACGGAGCATCGAGAACCCTAAACCCTGAACCTGGTCGTTGAAACGGCAGCGTCGCTTGAGGGCCGCAGTGGCTCCGGGCACTTGAAGGTGCAGGGCCCCAGAGACTCCAAAGACCCTTTTATTAGGGAATCTAGGGTTAAGGGTTTAGGGTTTAGGGGTTTAGGGTTTAGGGTTTAGGGTTTAGGGTTTAGGGTTCAGGGTTAAAAAATATGCCTTAAGTCATAAGAACAAAAAGATTCCCTACTTAAAGGATCATGGGACTTAGAAAGTAAGGTTCTAAGTCCCCTAATTGGGGTTATAAGTATAGGAACCTGAGTTATAACCCACTTACTAGGTCCCATGACTTTAAGTAGAGGAACCCAATAAAGATCCCCGAAAGGGAACCCCGACAGGATCCCCTTACAGGGCCCTTGAAAAAATCCCCGAACAGGGGCCCCTTATTAGAGAATCTCCTAAACCCTAAACCCTAAACCCCTAAACCCTAAACCTTAAACCCCTAAACCCTAAACCCAAAGCCCTAAACCTAAAACCCGTAAACCCGAAACCCTAAGCCCCAAACCCTAGACCCTTAGCCCTAAAGCCCTAAGCCCTAAACCCTGGACCCTTAGCCCTAAACCCTCAAAAACGAACCCTTGAAAAGGACACCACTGGGAGGATCATGGGACTTAGTAAGAAAAGTCATAAGCCCCTTAATTAGGGTTATAAGTAAATATAAGTGCAATTACCTTAATTATAATTCTGCTTACTAAGTCCCATGATCCTAAACCCTAAACCCTAAACCCTAAACCCTAAACCCCTTAATGGATCCCCGGACTGCCGAGCTCCGGAGCCCACCTTGCCGCGGAAGGGCCACTGGGGCTGCACGAGCTCCACAACCACCTCAAACTGCCCCGTGAAAATGAACCTCGGCTTCGGGTCGTTTTTAGGGTTTTAGGGTTTAGGGTTTAGGGTTGAGGGTTTAGGGTTTAGGGTGAAAATGAACCTCGGCTTCGGGTCGTTTTTAGGGTTTAGGGTGTGGGGTTTAGGGTTTAGGCTCTAAGGGTTTAAGGGTTTAAGGTTTAGGGCTTAGGGTGAAAATGAACCTCGGCTTCGGGCTTTCATAAGGGCTTTCTCGTAGGGTTTTCTTAGGGTTTCGGGTGAAAACGAACCTCGGCTTCGGGGTTTCTTAGGGTTTAGGGTTGAGGGCGTAGGGGTTTAGGGTGAAACTGCACCTCGGCTTCTGGCTTTCATGAGGGCTTTCTTAGGGTTTTTAGGGTTTAGGGTTGAGGGTTTAGGGTGAAAACGAGCCTCGGCTTAGGGTTTTCTGAGGGTTTAGGGTTTGGTGTTATTTAGGGTTTAGGGTTTTGAGGGTTTAGGATTTGGTGTTATTTAGGGTTTCGGGTTCAGGGTGTAGGGCTTGGTGTTATTCAGGGTTTACGGTTCAGGGTTTAGGGTTTACGGTTTCGGGTGTTTGGAACCGTTCCAGAGATCCTATTTCCTTAGGAAACTGTATTAGTTACTGAAGCACAAGAAGCCAATCGACACCCTATACAAGATATGATATTACCAAACCCCATAATCCGAACCCCACGCCCTACCTATAATCCGAACCCCACGCCCTAAATCCTGAACCCTAGGCCCTAAATCCTGAACCTTAAACCCTAAATCCTGAAGCCTATGTCCTAAATCCTCAACCTTAAGCCCAAAATCCAGAACCTTAAACCCCAAATCCTGAAGCTTATGACCTTAAGCCTAAACTCCTGAACCCTAAAACCCTAAAACCCTAAACCCTATAAACCCTAAACCCTATAAACCCTAAACCCTATAAACTCTAAGCCCTATAAACTCTATAAACCCTAAACCCTATCAACCCTCAGCCCCAAAGAAGGCCGGGACTTGAAATCCTGGACTCCACCCCCCCCTAAACCCTAAACCCTAAACTACGGCACACCCCGAAACCCTAAACCCTAAACCCTAAACCCTAAACCCTAAACCCTAAACCTTAAACCCTAAACCCTAAACTACGGCACACCCCGAAACCCGAACTTCTTATGAGGGCCCTTTTAACCTAAGGCTCCAGTTACCTATGGGGTTTAGGGGTTTAGGGGTTTAGGGGTTTAGGGTTTAGGGTTTAGGGGTTTAGGGTTTAGGGTTTAGGGTTTAGGGTTTAGGGTTGAGGGTTTAGGGTTTAGGGTTTGGGGATATGCTGATGCCGTACAAGGGTTCCTGTATAGCTACTGTTACGGACTGAGTATATAGTATATACTCTATCGAGGTGCATGCGGGCTTAGGGTTACCGAGCCCCAACCCAAGAAACTCTCAAATCAGAACGAACAATTGTATAAGGCACCTTGCGAACTCATTCAACTCCCAACCCCCTCTGATTCCCTAAACCCTAACCCTAAACCCTGAAGGGCCGTTCCAGAGGCGACCCCTGTAGCAAAGCCAAGCAAGCATTCAAGAAACCTGGCCATAAGA